AGCAATGAGAAATTATTACTTTGTATCTAGAAATCTTAAAAAAGAGTAACATTTTGTTTCCCATGTGAAGCACTAAAACACGTGTTCACTCAAACAGAAGCTGTGAGTGCTTATATGTGTGTCTGTTGGAAACAGACTCCACTCTGAATAGGGCAGTGAGTCAGACAGCACAAGACAAGACATCCTATTTGGTGACAGGAAAACCAAATCTGGGCATGTGATATCAAAATTCCCAGAAAATTTGGAGATTTTAGTTTATGTGATTTCTCCAGGTGCTTCCAGAAGCCTGAAGCTCCAGAAGCTCGAAATATTAACAGAAAAAAGCAATGACATGAAGTGGGATGACCCATTACCTCAGCCAATTTTCCTCTGCAGTGTCAAGCAGAAGGTCATATGCTGAGGAAATGATATCATAACCATGTTAATAACCATAACTCTCCATTTATGTTCATGTCACAGCTATGAAATTCTACTTTTTAATATTTTTTTTTTCTTTTATGTTCCTTTTTTTTTTTTTTTTCCTATCAGGAAGGGTCAGTGCATGTGTGTGTGTATAAAACATACAGTAGGTAAATATGTTGAAGGGCTCTGGTAATTTCATGGTGACCACAAAAGCAAAGCTCAAGTTGTTTGTGATGTTAACAGAAACCAGAGATGTGCTGTATGTGTAGCCTCATTCACAGTCTCTGAATTGCCTTTTATATAGTTCATGGATCACACAAGAGTTTAAGAGGAAAAATATTTTCTTTAAATTCATGTACATAATGTCCCTTTTCCTTCCAACATACCAGAAGAAGGTCTGATAATTTTAACTTATTATAAAACATTACTGTATTTGTTTTAAATGCAGGAATACCTTCTTCACCTGAGTTTCACTATAAAATATTTATTTTGTAAATCCTCGCTAAGAAATGAGAATCTACTACAAAAAGCAAAGTCACTCAACCAACTAAAATGAACAGAAAATTGAGAAGACTGAAATATTCTTTTTAAAAGCATAGCTGTCTCATGAGAGAAGATGTAAAACTTCTCTGGCATCTTGTGGCATTTCAGAAGTTAACTTTACCAACTTGGATTCCTTCCTCTAAGGAAGAAACCTAGGGCACGCACCCCTTTGAAAGTTTTGGGAATGAATATGTTGTTCACACATTTTTTTAACAAGAAATTGGCATATTTTAGAACTGGCAGCTGAATTCTGTTCTCATTTACACCTGTGCAATCTCACTGAAGCTAAATTGAAGGAGATTTGTCTAGGATAAAAATATCAGGAAAATCGGTGGTAGTAAACTTAATTTACTGCAAACTGAACTACGAGAAATATGGAAGGAAAGAGAGATTTTGTGATACCTCCAGACCACATAGGTTATTGGGCACTTTCAAACTGAGTCTCTGAGCCTTTTGAAGTCTTCCCATAATGACCATATTAAAGGTAAACTCGTGCACATTCCTATTTAAACAATTTCTGGGGGGAGGAAAATTCCTCCCCTAACTATACTTGTGCAGCTGAGGTAACTGCAGCATTCAACATAGCATTTCTTAGAAAGACATCTTAGTAAGTCGGATAAACAAGACTTTGTTTCAGATGAGTTAGCTTTGGGCATGATGAACTCTTTCAGGTTTAGCTCCTGTGTTAGATGCTTCAGAGATTCTCTCTCTGACCAAATTCATCTTGTTGTGAAGGTTGTGAGACTGACCATTTGGCCTGTAAATACCACCAAAAAGAATGGGGTTCTGTGAACATGCATTTGAAATAAATGTGGTTTTTTTGATGTTGTTTTGTTGTTGTTGTTTGTTTGGGGTTTTTTTTGGTTGGTTTTGAGTGTGGGTTTTTTTGTATTGTTTTGTTTTCCTTGGATTCCTTTTTTACCTGTATGAGCTTCCTGTTTTGATTCAGTAAATAGTTGTACCAGCAAAACAACCTAAAGTGGAACAGTAAGGAAGTAGGAATGGATTACTTGTTTTGTAGGAAAAAAAGGAAAGAAACTCCCAACAGCTGCTCAATCTGTCGCTTCAGCTGCAGGAAACATATACACAACCATTGATACAATAAAGTACAATGAAAATACTATAGTTTTCCTGAAAAAAACCCCACAGAAACAAACCAAAACAAAACCTAAGATTTTTAAAATGGATGACTGGGCTTCTGATTTTCCCAGTTCATGACTGAGACAGAATGTGTGCAGCTTGGGCTTTCAAGCAAAGTGGAGATATTCTCCTGACCTTAAAGGTTTTCAGCTGCTACCTCCTTTAGTACTCTCTTCTGTCCTCTAATCACACGTTCCTTGGCTCCAAACACACTAAGTCTGAGAATGGAGTAAGCCTTAGGATTCTTAGTGGGTGGCTTCCCAGTTCCCATGCAGTTACCTATCACACTTTCTAGCTCTTTCAGAGTCCTTGGTTTCCTTCTTGCCATAATCTGTAAATCCATATTGGGATCTGAGAAACCTCCCAGGAAAAAGGGCACTCAGAAACCCCTGAATCCTGAGCCATAAGAGATGTCCTCCTCTTTTTCGGAATCTTCTTTGTGGTTGAACACAACAAACCTTTACAAGCAAGGTAATGGTTCATATAAGTCCAGGTATGGTATGTCCTTGATCTTCAGATAAACCACTTGTTTTCTGAAGACGGAAAGAAGGTTTGTCTGATTATAAGTCAAAATCAGTGCAGGTAGATTACTTAAGGACTAAAAAGGCAGCTGAGCATCAGGTCAAGTTGTACAGGGCCTGCAATGGACTGATGTTTGAGTCTTGTAAAAACTACTGAAGGGAGAAGGGAAGGATGGGAACTGGAAAGCTCTGAACTTTCGCTAGAGTCTCTTTCCTCCTGTAGATCTCAGGAAACCCACAAGAAAAATCCTTAATGCCTTTTCCCAGGCACCTTATTCACCATTACCTTTCAGCAGACTCCTTAAGATGCAGGAGCAGATGCCTGAGGTGTGCCCAAGTAGCCGTACACGTGTGTGTGTGTAAGGGCAAGTTGCACTCATGAGAGCGGGTGTGAAGTGTGTGTGAGGCTGTATGTATGCATGTCTGTGTGAACAAGGAGCTGGACAGACCAAGAATGTGGAGAGACGAGCTGCTACCATGACTTTTCCTCAGCCTTCTGCAGGAAACCAAAATGGAGCATTTACTGGTTCTTTTCTTGCTGCTGGAATTGCCAGGGAGCCCAAATTAGTTTGTCAGCTTCTGATGACCTCTGCTAATACAGCTGTTCAAAACATTAACATTTAAAATAAGATTCTAATTATCTCATCGTAGCTATCTGCTCTCGATCTCAGAGAGATGAGTTCAGTGAACCATAATTTATCTCTTTAGCTTGTTGGTGGTTTGTTGGATATGTGTTGTTGCAAAGAAATAGGACAATGGGAAAAAAACAACTCATCATTAGAAACATGTTTTCATTCTCTCTGTGTGTATGTGTGTGTCATAATTCATTACTTCCACTGACCTCAAATTTGGCAGAAAAAATCACTCAGCTAGAGAGATAACCTTCATGTCTTAAAGCCAAAATTCCTTTGTCTGTGGATTTGGAACATGTAGACAAAACGAAGTTTGAAGTGGGAATTCACTTCACTGTACTAATGAAAGAGTAATTGCAATTATTCCAAGTTACAGCAGAGAACTAAGGCAAGTAGGCTCAATCCCAGTTTGTCAGAGCAATGATACACTAAACAGACAACAGATTTTTAGGGTGAGGACATATTTAGCAAAGTAAAACAGAAAGAAAAGGATACATCTCCTGGCTGAGAAGTTCTGTACTGTGAGTGAAGGCTACAAATGTCTTGTGCAATAATATTTTTACCTTAAAAAAAAAAAAAAAAAAAAAGAAGTAATCATTCAGGGAAGATATATAAGTAAAAGTGGAGAACAAATCTAAGGATGCATAGAAGAATGGGGAGTCGAAGTGGGAAATGACCAAACAAGTCGGAGTATGTCTGAAAGTATATCCATATAGGACTGATAGAGAGACATAGACTAGAGAGCTTAAAAAGACAGAAGCACAACTGCTGAATGTGAAGGTTGACCAAAGTGAAGTGAATAGAGGAGGAATGAAAGAATGCACAGTCTGAGATAATAACAGGAGCTGACTTTTGCGAGACCTGGAAAATCTTAAAGTTTGTTTATCTAGTAACAAATCTGTGAAAATACCTATCCCTAAATAGCATCTATACATAGATGACAGAAGAAGGCCTGAGACTCAGGATGGAGCTTTAAGTGACTGCCAAGTATAGAAGGCATTACACATCAAAGCTTGAATACGTGGTTACTCCAGATCTTCAGCAGACATTGCTGGTAACCACAAAGTTTGTCTCCTAGTCTGTCATGCAATGTTTTCCAGGGACACACAGTGTAGTCAGTTAAGGCTGAGAGCTAAAACAGAAATGTCCTCAAGTATAATTTCATATAAAAAATGTAATTAAAGGAATTTTTATCTTAGAAGAATCTTTGAAACAACTTTAGGAAAAGCTTTTGGATATATTATCAACTATGCCTGTATTTTATGGATTAATTTGTTTTAAAGTAGTTATGCAAGGCTTCACAATATTTGATTTTGCAAATACTTCTTGAGAAATCCTGGGGTTTTTTTGTTCACCCTTTTATACTGTTTCACTCTTTTATTGTGAAAACAGCTGTGGTATTGTGCACTCTTTTGACACCTTTTCTTTGAAGTCAGTTGTGTACTTTCAGTAAATTTACTGACTGTCTCGGGTGATGACATCCTGAGGTTCAGTGGTAAACACTCAGGAAAAAGCCACAGAGCAAATGGATGACAAGGCAAGGAATACAGTTCAGCAGCCGTTGTCCTTAAGTGAATGATCCAGCATTTTGATTCACATAATGTCTTCATGGTATTTTCTAATATGATTGTGAGAACTAGTTAAGTACTCATTGCTTGTTTTAAAGGAGAACTAATAATGGGTGTGTTAAGAAAAGCAAATCAAGCATTGCAGAAAACAAAGAACTATCTAAATGTAATCTTATTAATTTTATATGTTCCAGATTCAGAACAATCTGTGGGCAGGGAATGCGGCTAGCGGTTCTGTGGTTACTTCCTGCATGCTACCACGAGACACATCCTCCTGTATGACACCTTACTCCCATTCACCCCGGACAGATTCTGGCTACACAGGCTTTTCAAATCACCAGAATCAGTACAGCCACATGCCCCTGAATAATTTTTTCACTGACTCTTTACTTTCTGGGGCGACCAATGGACACGCTTTTGAAACCAAGCCGGAGTTTGAAAGAAGGTCCTCCAGCATTGCAGTTCTACGGATGAAAGCCAAAGAGCATGCTGCCAATATTTCCTGGGCCATGTAATACAACAGTAGCCTTTCTTAATTCCTCCCCCCCCTCTTTTTTTTTTTTTTTTTTTTTTTTTAATAGCAAACTGAAAACATTTTTATTTCCCATATTTAAAGGACACAACAATATGCTGCTGTGTGTGGAATGCTAGAAATCACAATATACACAATGTCTGCTTAAACAAACGCAATATACTATTTAACAATAAAACAAGAATAAAGCAAATAGATTTACCAAGCATCAAGCTCAACAAGCCCTCTTTGTTTTGGTTTTTATATAGAAATATGTTGTGTTGTACCATTTGGTGAAATATGATTATAGAACCTGCAAAAAAGAATAAAACCATTAAGCAAATATGTCTACTCTACAGTTTTTTAACAGTCTTGTGTACAAAATGAATGCTTTAAATGAAGACTTCACAAGGGAACAACTCTGTAAAGAAAAATAAATTATACTAAAACCATGAACTAAATCTCTAAGCACACCACTCAGAGAAGGAAATATACAATCATTCATGTTGTACGTGGAATTTACAGACCTCTCTCAACGCTGTGCTGCTGCTCTGAGCCAGCTTTGGTGTTGTGCTAGATGCATGTTGAGCTTGTTGGAGTTATATCAAGGCACAATTAATGTAATGAGAATAGAAAGTACTGCTTTATTTTATGGACTGGTGTGTATTTCCATTAAAGCTAATGAGTTTTTTTATTTTGCCAAACATATCACTAAAAGCAGGATGAGTGTTTAACAAAGTTTTCAAAGACATGCACAAATGCTTGAGATCAATGTTTAAATGAAATCTTTGTAGTTGCAAATAGGGTATTGTGAAACTTAGGTGACCAGAAAAGAGCATGGGATAGTATTGTGACACTTCCAACAGCATCCAGATTTAGAAAAAAAACAACAGCAAAGTCTTACTTCCATCCAGTCAGTCTTAATGTTTTTGGTTGTGCTGTGTCAAAGTGAAAAGAAAATATCTAACAAGACTTGCCAATTTCAGTCTGTAACCGATCTCAAGATGTTATAAGAGAACATTTAATTTAATTTTAGTTACAGTTTGTTGATACTTTGCTTTCCCCTCCCTGTTACCCCCCCCCCCCCCCTGGAAGACTTGTTTGCTCCCTTTAAAGTTGATAGGAAAAACCTTTTTGACTGCAGTGGCAGCAGGATTTGGCTCTCAGCTCCCAGCCTATCACAAAGGAATTAAAATGTCAGCAGGCTTTCTGACATTTCTGGTGGAAAAAAAAAAAAAATAGAGCAGAAGAAAAATACTTTACATCTGGAGAATTGCTATCTACTTTGATTTACTTCTCCTCCCTTTCCCCTGTCACATTCCAAGCTCCTTCAGATGATTGAAATGTCAGCCTCTTTGAAAGCAACAGTCAGTCTCTCAGGTTCATAAAGGCATAGTAAATTAATTGAAATAAAGAAGGACTTGCATGGCTGTGATTAGAACAGGATACAACTCTGGGCACCCTCTGCTCCTTCTTGCTTTTCTCTCTGGCCATTAGTTAGGAAAGGAGTTGGGGGAGGAGGCGAGGGGGGGGGGGAGTGGGGGTGTGTGTGGAAGGAGGTGTAGGGGGGAGGGGGGAAAAAGGAAGAGCAGGGAAGCACATTTCATCACAGCAACTGCAGAACTACCAGTACTCACAAAAACAAGTTCACAGGAACCCCCAAATTGTTTCTGTTCTCACTCAGAACACTAAATTTGAAAACAAAACCAGGACAGGGGTCCCTTCTGTAAACTTTCAGGGGAATAAACAAACTTTACTTTGCAACCATTAGTATCAGGATCAGTTGAAAAATGGTAATTTTACAGCAAATCCTGAAACAGATGACTGAGAGGAAGGTTATCCTATTTGCCACTAGTAATAAACTTTAACACATACCTATGCTCCCATTTGTGGTTTCCTGATTTTATTCTCCTTTTAAAATTTAGCTTCAGCTTTGGCTTGAAGAACTAAGAGCAAGCATTCTGGCTAGAATTTATCTTTTTCTTTTTTATGGTCTGTTTAGACAGCAGTAAAATGAGGCTTATTATTAAAACAAACAAACAAAAATTATCAGTGTAGGTAGTAGACACTATTTTTATCTAGACACTTGTGCCACACACGGCAGGATGAAAGTGGTGGGAATAGAATGTGTTTTTTAAGGAAATCGAACTGTTTCCAATTCCAAACTGTGCATTTAATTTTTAAGTTTCAACATAATAATTTTTTAAGGTGTAGCATCTAAAACATGTCAAACTGATTTCCAGACAATTTTCATTAGATCATCATTAGTGGATAAAGAAGCAAAAGGTTAGCTGGCAGACTTCAAGCCATTGTTACTTCTCTTTCAGTTCACTAATTAATTTTGATAACAGAATTTGCTATTATTGTTTTGTGAAATTCAGAAAAAAGTCCATTTTTACAAGGCTTTTTATATCAAGAGTAAAATTAAACAATTAAAAGGAATTTATTGAAGTGACAGGATGCTTGGGGAGAATAAAAATGAGTTTTCAAAACTTTGCAAAGCTTTTAGATGCTTGAAGCCTCCAAAATCAGAGAGGAAAACAAAATCCTGCATTCTTCCTGCT